TAGCTCCACATGTGCTCACTGACCAGCACACCTCCAGGGATCCTTTGGGAAGCAACCAAATACCTGGGGTAGGGGTGCAGCTGAGCTCACCTGGGAGAGCCAGGTCCCTGGAAGCCCTCAGGAATGATACATGCTGTCCTAGGCCTATGTGTGGTGACCACAGCCCCAGGGGACTGAGCCAGCTCATGTGCCACCTGTTGGATGGCACCACTATGCCCTTGAAGACTTCGTGCTAAATTGAGGGTGCTCCTTGCAACAATGCCATAGGTCCCTCAGAGGGCAGACGATGGGTCACATCTGAGCACCCGGGGTGTCCCTTAAGTCATCACTGATACTTCACAGATGTTTCTTTGCCTGGCCTAAGACCCCTCACAGGTGGGAAGAGGCAGCGTAAGTCTGACAGGGAGTTTTCCTCTGGAGTTAAGGAATTTGGGGGAAAATCACATTGGGAAAGGAGCTCATCTGGGCCCTGATCAGAAGCGCTGGGTTCTGGACCTGCCTCTATCACTGACTGGCTGTGCAATCCGGGTCAGTGAATCTTCCGACTGGAGGGGTGGCCTAACTACCTTTCATGCCCAACGGGAATCCTTCCCACAGACCCTGCCACAGCACACCACCATCCAGGGTCCCTCCAAACGCTTCCAGATGCAAGAGCTTCCACCAGTCTGCAGGATGATCCATTCCTCCTTGGCAAATTTGTTAGAAAGACCCTTTTCCAAAGGCCCAGAAGACCTGCAGCTGAGTGTTCACAGTCCCACAGCTGCAGGGAGAGTAGGATGGAGGGAGGGGGCCGGAGACTTCTCCATTGATTTGGTATGGGTTGTTTTGTAGTATCTTACATTAAATTTGTACTAGCAAACAAAGTGACAAAAATAAGGTCCTTTTTTATTTGAAGGCAGTCTACCTTCCTAACATTTCCACCTTACATGGAAGCCACCTCCCACAGGGACCTTCAAGTACCTGAAGCAGGGGATCAGGTTTCTAATCATCTCCAGATCAAGCTGCTCCTCTTGTAAATTGGTTTCCAGACCAGTTCCATGCCAGGCACCCCCTCTGGTGTGTCAGATGATAAAACTCAGTGGCACTGTGCAGGGAAGGGGGTGGTCACTCCCTGAGCTGGGAGTTACTGTCAACTAACTAAGGAAGCCTGAGAAGACATCTCCTTCCTGTGCATGTGTGTCCAACACACAGAGTTAAATCACTCACTTCCCAAGCCCTAGTGGTTGTTAATTTTTAATCCAAAAAAGAGGAAACAATACCTTTGCTGTGAGAATCAATTGAGATTAGGGAAATGAAAAACATTAAAAGCACAAATCCCTACACCAAAGGTTCCGCCCCTCCCCACAGACCCCATTCAATTTAAACAGCGACCGGGCATCGTGCCCGTGGAGCCAGGCAGCATGGGTCCTAACCCCAGCTTTGCTATTTGCTGTCTGTTTGTCTTTGGAGAAATGACCTGACATCGCTGTGCTTCAGTTTTCTCCCTGTGGCACAAAGACAGTGATAACACCAATCGCCGAATGCATTTTTATGAGCATTAAATGTATTGCCTAGCGCTGCCTAAATGTTGGCTGTCTGGAATTATCCCAGCTTCCTCCTTCATAAGGAGATACAGCCTTCACTGAAATTAGGCTAATACATTGCACCAATTTTACAAAGTGAGGGCATCAAACCAAACTGGTCACATTACTGGAGTGAGCTGCTCCGCAGCCCTCTCCCCATCTGTAAGCAACAATTATGCACCAAGCACTGCACTGAGGGTTGAGGGAAGGCACCCATACTTTTAATCCCCTTTTGCCCCCTTAGAGATAGAAACTACTGTTATTCCCATTTTGAAGATGAGGAATGAAGGTGTGGGCAGGTTAAGAAACATTACAACTAGAAAATGATGGAGACAGGCTTGAACCCATGTCCACCTGACCTCAAAAGCCTGTCTTAACCACTACAGAGCCCCCCTCTCCTAAGCAGCTCCCAGGCTGGGCCCAGCTCATTCCAGGCCCGGCGGAAGCCTGAGCAGCTTCCTTGACAGCACCAGTGACTCTGCTTCTCTCACTAAGTCTGCCCCTCTCCTCTTCTGGGGCTCTGAAGGTGTCACGGTCACCCTGGCTGGATTTCCTCAGGTCCCCCCCAGAACGCCCCCCCATGGCATCAGGTACCCCCAGGATGTCCGGTGGGTTCTCATCCCCTGCTCATGAAATGGTTTCACAATGATCTAGAAAAAAAAAAAAAAAAAAAAAAAAAA